TAATTCCATATAGATGCTGAGGTGACTATTTTCGGGCAAATTCCCATTTTTGTTTCCTAGAGAGCAGAGTGGCAGTACCTGCTGCAGTACTATGAAGCTCAATGCCTATCTGAACTCTGCTGTTGCATATATTCTCTCTATCGCGTAGCACAGACCCACCCAATGACTTATCAAAACCTGTCACCAGTATTCCTGCAGATAGATAGAGGGTCAAGTGATTGCATGTGGTCCTCTGCCCATGCACCATCCAACTCTGCATCCCCTCTGAGAGGAACAGGCTGTGGTCTGTGTTATTGATGGGTTGATGCTTTAACAGTGTTCTTCCTAAATTGTCTTACGTATGAAGCCCTCGCTCTCTATAAGCAGTGACATGAGCAGAGACTGCCTTCACTGTGCTTCACTAATAAGAGCAGGTCTAGGAACAGCAGATTAGAAATCAATACTCAGCTATTAATATAAGGAGTTATTAGAGGATTAGAGTTAGGGATCCAGTAAAAGGAGAGCATTGACACACTTCCATATTTTTTCTATCACAACATCATAATCATTTCTATAACAAAAAAACCAAGTGGTGAATATAACAGTCCTCATTTTCTATAATATGTTAGATTGTCTCTTCTTGTTTAAGGCCTTCCTCTTTTAATGTACACAAACAAAACATTTGTAGCTGCAGGTCCTCACACAAAACAATACAATGTAAATAACACTGAGCAACAACTTACACGTTAAGGTAACTATGTCTCATTCACAAGTTTAGGAACGTCAACTTGTGATTATGAACAACTTTTCATTGCTTTTTATTTTTCCCCAAGTAACTGTGGTCAAATGATATTACCAAATTAGTGAAAAGGAAACTTAAAAAAAAGAGTAATAGTCATTTGTGAATCACTAAAGATAAATCAGCTTTACCTCAGGAGGTCAGTAAACATACAATTGTACATTGATAAAGGCAATTCCTTTTAAGCCACATGTGTGCTATAACCGGGAAAGGAAGTGAAAGTGAGCAACTGTTATCTTATAAAAGATACTTTCCTGTTGAGTTGAGAGGCACTTGGGTGAGAGGCACATAACTGAAGGTGAGGATTTATATTTTATTTCCCAATTCTTGTTATGCTATCATCATTTTGATTATAGTTATCCTTTTTGTGTAACACAGTTATAGAGATAATTACTGTATTTATGTTAACATTATTTTTATTTCAAACCTTTAATGCTTTTAGAGCTGCACTTAGAAAAAAAGGAAATATATATAAACCTATATTTTTCCAGCTCTGGGGGTTTATTTGGTTTGATTTAATCTCTAACCTGAACAAAAACGGAATTTGTCAAAACGCTGCTTGTTTGTAGTGAGCAAGATTAAATGAAACATAATTCTCTGGATAAATACAAAATAAGTCATTTTACCAGAGATTGCTGCTTAGTGATTCACTTAGATGTCCGGGTCTTGGTTTGAATAAAGCCTGATCATAAGGGATAGAACAGGGGCACAATATGTAATGTAGGGTCTATTTCCTGACTGCACTCAAAGAGAAGAGCATTAACTCTCTCCTTTATTCTTTCTTTATATAAAATAAAGGGGATAAGTTAAATCATTAATGTTACCTGCAATGTCTGTTAGACATAAGGTGCATTAATCGTAAACAGACAGTCAAATTAAAGTGCTCAGTTTATTTATTTTTTATTTTACCTTGTACTTTTTAACTTGAACAAATATCATTTGTTTTTTATTTTATGCAAAATCAATATAACAGGTTTTTAAAGATATTCATAGCAAATCAAATGTTTACTTGGACAGCACACTTGAGCGAGTATGAGAAGTTGTAAACAGAGGAATTTAAAATATTATACATAGTTATAATAACAATGGCTTAACTATATATAACGAATGTTGTGAAATATTTGATCTCAAATATTGTATTGATAATCTTTCTACAACAAGTTATTTTTGTAGCCATGGGAAACAGCCAACCTGAATGGAGGAACGTACCTTGGGGGTGAGTGTTTTTAAAAGCAAAACTCCTTTGTTGAGACTGACCTTTGTTAAGCCATTTATTCTATTTCTTGTCACTTTTTAGAAACATGGTGGTTTCGTTTTAATCGGTCAAAGAATGATTTGATCTAAATTGTCTAATGTTTTTGAATTGAACAGAAACAATGAGAGAGAACTGCAGATTGTGAACGAATACAAGCCTTTTAAAAAGGATGCCCAGCTCAGAATCATGCTTTATGGACCTGTTGGTGCTGGCAAGTCCAGCTTCATCAACTCTGTGGAAAGTGTTTTACGAGGCAAAATAACTGATCGAGCTAAAGCAGATGGGATCGGTGGCGAGAGCTTCACCACAGACGTAAGAATCCCCAAAAACAAGAAAAAACAGAACGACAATTAAAAAACACAATGCACATGTTTATCTGGCTCAGAGCTGGTGCACCATGTTCTGAGGCTCAGTCCCTGCTGAGGAAGATGCACATTTGAATCTGTCTTGTGGTCTGTTAACACGTTTCATCCCCTCTATCTCCCCCCTATGAAGAGATTCATTCTACATACAATGTTGTGTTTTAAAAAAAGACTGTCTTTTAATTGTATTTTTGATTTTTAAAATGTTGTATTTGTTTTGTATTTGTATTTTTTTTTATTGTTTCTGTTTCGTGAAATTATGTTATGTTAACTACTGATGTTATGTTCTGACATCTAGGGCTACCTAACTACCATGTCATTATAACAGCAGTTTCATGTTTTACAGTACAAAACCTACAAAATCCAAAAAGGAGAGCCAGGGACACATTACCCTTTTGTCTTCAATGACATCATGGGCCTTGAGAAGGATGCAGGAAGAGGAGCTTGTGTGGAAGACGTCAAACTGGCCATGAAGGGACACGTGAAGGATGGTTACAAGGTACAACTGAATTCTGTAAACCTTATTTCTCTTCAAAAATTTGAGTAAAACAATCCCACATTGTGGTCATTTTCTTCTATACATTGAAATATGGAAAACCAACGACTATTCGTGCACTCAAATGTACTTTTTAAAATGTGATTTAACATTGTTTTCCAGTTCAACCCTGTCTCTGCCTTGTCTGAAGATAACCAACACTACAACAGCAACCCCTCTCTAAATGAGAGAGTTCATGTTCTGGTTTGCGTCATCCCTGGCAACATAGCAGGATTGCAGAATGATAATGCCACATTACAGTTACCGACTGACGATGTGAAAAAGTTGAGGGAAGTCAGACTTGCAGCCAGGGACATGGGTAAGGGTTGGATATTGAAATAACAAATTCAATTGTATATATCGTATTTTATAATTATGTTTAATATATTATAATTCTAATAAAATAAAATAACCTGAGATTATTTTTGACTGATTCTGCTCTGTATTGGCAGGGATTCCCGAAATTGCTATTCTCACCAAAATTGATGCAGCCTGTAAAGAGGTCGGCAAGGACATAAGGAACGTGTATAAGAGCAAGTACCTGAAGAAGAAGGTAAGTTTTTTGTTGGTAATTTTGTTTTAGACAACTGTAATTCAAGTTTGAATATAATTTTGTTTTACACTGTAATCTTGTAACAGCACAATCTTCTTTGATCGGCACTTTCATTTATTAAATGTCATATTCTTAAATGTAGATTGAGGAGGTGAATGGCGTGCTGGGTGTTCCACAGAGCCGCATCTTTCCTGTGAAGAACTACCACTCAGAGCTCAACACAAAAGGTGACATTGATACACTGATACTGAGCGCACTGAGACGGATGATTGAATCTGGAGAAGACTTTCTCAACGACCTGTAAAACTACATTATGCTGAGGCAGGTCTTGGAAACAAGAATGATAATTACATAAAGTGGGCAATGTAGCTTTTAGGTTTTCATGTGCAGCCTGTAATGCACCATATCTATATTATAAATGATGGTATCTCTCCCTTAATGAGTAAATATGAAAAGGCTTTATTTTGCATGTAGTTGAGTTTTTGCATCATGATGTTGATAGTTATGCTTTGTTGATTCATGTGGTCATTTATATTGCTGTCTCCAAGTAATCGAGAATCTGAATATTAGCAGGTCAAAAGACACAATTCTTGGGAAATTAAAACGTAACGTTTAGACTTTTGATTACAGATGCTGTACCTGTCACAGATTAAAATATATGTTCCTAATCAAAGTTGGAAGAGATTTATAGTTAACATTTTACTACTGTACTGTGGTTCAGGTAGAAACACAATAAATCGCGAAAATATAAAAATGTGCCAATTTTCTTTTCTTATGAACTTTTTTTCTATTCCACACATTACTTTCCAATAGGTAATTTCACAACTGTCCATCAGAGAGTGCAATTTGAGTGCAATTTGAGTTGTGTGTCAATGAGGATGGAGATCGAAGCTACAGTATATAAAGGGTCCGAGTACAAGGGTCCGATTTGAGTCTTGGGTGCTAAAAAATAATAACTTATGAATCATAAGTATTTTCACTAAACAAATGTGAAAAGCTTTGTAATGCATTCTTAAGTCTGTCACTCCTTTACACAATCTATAAAATATAAAATAAATTATATATAGTCTTTTAACCCTAACACTAACCCTATATAGTATATGCAAGTGTGAATATGACATATCATTAAAACTGCATTTAAGTCAATTAAAAGAGGAAGGCCTTAAACAAGAACAGACAGTCCAACATATTAGAGAAAATGAGGACTGTGATATCCACCACTTGTTTTTTTTTGTTACATAAATGATGATGATGTTTGGATAAGAAAAATATGGAAGTGTGTCAATGCTCTACTTTTACTGGACCCCTAACTCTAATCCTCTAATAACTCCTAATATTAATAGCTGAGTATTGATTTCTAATCTGCTGTTCCTAGACCTGCTCTTATTAGTGAAGCAC